CCTTCGGGGAGCCGATCCTACACCTGGTGGTGTACGGATGACGGTAAACCGGCAGAAGTATGTCATCCTACATACCTCCGGATCCTGATCGAAAATTGCTATGTCTTGTGCTTTCAACTTACACCAGACATGTAAATGTGTGGAGTGATGCCGGTATTACTCTTTTGTAGATCCTGCTGCAGCTACTTGCAAAGCTGTTGGTGCTGTAGTGGTGATCCCATCTTGTACTTAGGTCTATAGGTGCGAGCGATGTGGGCAATTGCCCCACAGCCCTCAGTTGGCCGTGCTGCGATGCAGCATGTCGCGCTAAGCCGCGCAGGGGACAAGACATTGTTCTGCGAATGCAAAGTCAAAGTCTCTCTCGCTCTCTCGCTCTCTCTGCCTCCCTCCTTTCTACAAGCCCGTGTATATGCAAATACAAACATAGACATAGACGTACACAATCCCTCTCCCCCTCTCTCTCGAAAAGAATTGCGGTTCATGCTGAAAGTGCAGAAAGTCTCTGCAAAGATGCAGGGCTGAGGGCTGTGAGTGTATCCCACAGTGCAGAGGTTGTTCGATTGTGGAAATCGAAGCTGTTCGCCTCTGCCTGTGTGTGTCCCTCTCTCTCGCCCGTTTTTGTTCTGCTGGGTTTAGGGATCTCTCTGTCTCGCTCTCTTTCTTCTATCTCTCTTACTATGTGCGTAAGTCGATATTATGTAGATGCACATACATATTTTCATATGTATGCGCTTACAAGATAAATGTGTACATACATACATCTATATATATATATACAATAATATACATATATACTTAATTATTTATTTATGAGAAACTATCTTTTGTACATATGTAGTTAAGCCCTAAACCCTAAACCCTAATGGTAAATATCTTCATTTCATGTTTTATATTTTCAGGTGCATTAAATTCCCTGCTCTTCTGCTTACGTATCACTAGTTTTTGATTACAGGAGTGAGACTTCAGTCTTCCGACGGATGCCGATTTTTACCTTTGCAGGGCTCATGTCCCGTGGGAGTTTCTCCAAAGGCAAGAGCACATGTGCAGTTCTGCAGTTACCGGGCATAGGGCCAGCCGGCTTCTATGGGGCCCATTCACCAAAAAGGCCTGCGTTTCTTTCATGTCCCTTGTGCGAAGCAAGGATCCAAACAAAATGCTGCGGGAGGTCCTAACAAGACGAGCTTGGCTATGCAAAGATCCATAATACACACCTCCAGTATTCAGAGTTTCCTTTGGCAAGGTGCTGTGAGCTGTGGGTAGCCTTCCGTCCGCTCGAAGGCCACGCAAGGGCCATCGAGGCCGCAGTTGCAGGGAAGCGCCCAGGAATGACCTGTGAAGAGTTCCTGAGGCACGGTTAAGGGAAAGCTATGGTTGCCAGTCATATAGCTGCAAGGAATAGGCCTGTAGTCTTAGGCTTTAAGTCTCAGAAATCCAAGCTTTACAGGTTAATGCTTCGGCATTTGATCCCTTCCCGCTAATATCAAACGTCCTCCCTCCCAATAGAAACTCGGAAGGTGTTCTAATTATTAGGGGGGCTGTTTATCCACTGTTGCAGGGTCGTGATCTTGCACCCGCTCTGGCTCTTGCTCCCGCGATGGCTTTTGTTCCTGCTTCTGCTGCATCTCTTGCGCCTGCTCCTGCTCTTACTCCCGCTTTTGCCTTTGCTTTGCCCTTGCTGCTGCTCTTGTTGATGCTCTCGCTTCTGTTCTTGCTCCTACTCTTGCTCTAACTCCTGCTCTTGCTCTTGCTCTTATTACTGTGCTCTAAGGGTATGTGGAGCCTGGAAACCCTCCCCTAATTCAGAACTGGTTTTGAAGGGCAGGGATGATTTCGGGAGGATTCGCCCCCATGTGTTTCATTATTAAAGTCCTAAAGATGATGGCCAGTCCGAGGACAGTAACCGGCCGGAGCAGTAGAAGGACCAGTAATGTCTCGCATTGTGGTCGTGGTGTCACTGTAGTGTTATACTTGTTGCCGCGGTCGCTGCTGTGGAAGTCATGTTGTTATCAATCCGTTTCGTGCCACTGCGTTTGTAGCAATGAATCACAGTGGGGTCGTGCCGAAAGCTTGTGTCATGGACAATTGTTCCTATTTTGACCAGTGATTGCTAACCTTGGCTGCAACCCGACAATCACTTGCGGCAGGCGTCCAGCTTGTCTGCCCATCCATGGAACACCTCAGGGTAGACGGGTAGACCACTGCGGGATGTTTGAGACGAGAGATGAGAGAAACAAAACTATACACACCTTGCAGTTTGCAAGACTCCTGTCTCAGTGTGCTGCATGGGGTTCGCGCCTAAGAATGAGGGCGGAGGATTTCGGGACAGTCCTACGAGTAGGCTGTACGTCTTCCCAAACCGTGCACTCAGAATCACAAAGGCAAAAACAAGCAAACCGCCCTTCCCGTACAACAGGACCCCGAGCCCTTAGCCAAACACCTCAAATTTAGGTCCCTCGGACCTCAAACAAGAGGGGCATCGGATCCCAAAGTCATCGGACTCTTGGAGATCCCATCCCGAGCCCCGAGCCTTTGCGTTCTGGCACCTCGCCCTGAATCCCGAGAGCTAAAACCCAAATCCCCACCTCTCACAATCCCCCTGCAAGCCTTCAGTCTGCAAGGCCCCTGCCCTGCCTCGCAGCAAGCGAAGCCTTTCACGCCGCATCCCTCCTGACCAGGCCCTGGCTCACAGACGCCAGCCGGCCCTGCCTCGACAAGGATGGGCCAAAGGCAAAGCAAAAAACGACAGCAACAGCAGTAAAAAAAAAAAGCTATTACATGCAGCGGCATCATGACCATCACCATCCAACCAACGTTCTGAATACTAGTGTAACTGGAATGAATTGTACGAGGCAGCGTAGTGATTTTGACAGCGGCAATACACCAGGGCGACACCTTGCTCGTACAACTGCGAGTTATCGAACTATGCTCAATATCCCAAACAGCACCACATCCGAAGAAACATGACTCTTGCTTCGAGTCTTCCGTCTCATGCTACCCTCGGAGCGCCTTGTGCAGAAACGACTCGTCTCTGCACGCCATTTGGCGGCCGGGCCAGTAGGCGAACTTGCATGGTAGCTTCGGCAGCTGGCCTGGCAAACCGCGGCCAGGTGTTAAGCACGACACCTCCTGTCTACTCCGAGATGAAAGCGCACTTGGCTGTAGGGCCTCCCCTCCCCCAACCCTCGGCCTCCGGCAAGCAGCTCCAAAGTCTTCCGAACATCCGACTCGAGGATCCTGGGATTCAGAGAGCAAGAGCTTGTAATGCTTGTATAGGATGTAAACACTTCATCACGTAGGGAATGAGGGAAGGCAGGCTAACGGCATAATTACACAAGATCTTCGGGTCTAGGGTAAGGCTTTGGAATCGAAGCTCCAGCATAACCGGCGCCCCCTTCACAATGTTCAATATTCCATACTCCGGCCCCCGGAGCTCCCTTCCTCCAGATCCAGCCCCATATTAAACGTCTGAGATTTGGGGGTTCGGTGGTGAGGGCTTGGAACTTCTGGCTTCGGGCTTAGAGCTTCGGATTTGAGGGCCAGGGGCTAAAGATGTTGGGTTTTGCTTCTGCGGGCGCGCTTCACCCGCACCTAAGCGTCTTCCCCATGAATAAAAAACCTCAGGGACAATATGAGGCTGTGAAAGTCTAGGCATGTTGCTATAAGCAAAAAGTGCAACTTCAATTGGGTCGGAGGCTGCAAAACTGACTTCCTACATGTACCCGTTCAAACTCGTGCACACTGAGCTGTCGCTTCGAGGCTCAGTACAGACGCGTCTGTCGGAGGCTTGCTCCGTGCGGTCCACCTGACAGTTGCTTAAATCGGGTCCCGCTTTAGGGCGCACTACACCAGGTGTCAAACCAGCAGATAATTAGATCAATTTGTGGCCGGGACTGCTATTAAGGATCGCGCATTTTGGGCCTAGCTCTTTGTGGAAAGATTCCGACCTCTGCGTGGCCAGAGCCAGGAATCGAGGGTGTGTCGCCAGAGAAGATTCGGCCAAAGTCCCGTTGAAGTACCGAAACAGGATCTTGGCAGAAGCGTACTGATCCACTGTGCAGTCTTGCCAGTGCAGCATTTTTGCAGCAAAGGCCGGGGAGTTGGCGCAATTCCTGAGTCTGCCCTATCCACCAATCAAAGATGCATTCAAGAGTTCGTTGTCTTGGAACTTTGGAAGAGCAGGGGCATCCATCATGCTTCCACTGACAGAATTCGCCGAACCCTCGGGTCATCCTCAAGCCTTAACCCTGCATTTGCAACCTAAACTCATAGTTCTCGGCAGCACCAAAATCCGGCTCAAGAGCTGCGCCAACTGGAGAGCTGCCAGCACCATACCGAAGTCTCCCTTGTCGGGCTCAATTGGTTTCGGATTAACGGGTTTAAGCTTTACGACTTGACCGTGGATGGGGAGCAGGGCTTAGGATGCGCTTGGAGTTTACAGTGCCTGATCCTTCCTAGAGGCTGAAACCCGAGTCTTCGAAGGCCGTTGTAACATGAACTCGAACATCTTCTGAACGGTGCAAATGCTGAAAGGTATCCTCCGATGGCACTACCGTGAACCCATGCGTGGCCTTCAGGTCTTGCCCGCGAGGGTGTGTGTATTGCAAGAACCTCTGGGAACTCTGCTCCGGGAAGCGCTCCGACCAATCATCCACAAACCAAATACCTTGCTTCAGATTTAGGGATCGGGAATAGCATTCTGCTTAACGGCGCCTGGACATGCGCTGGGGGGGCTCAGCCAGGCAGTTTTGCACTGAGGATTAGATTTCCGAAGCGGTTGCAGCCTTGTCGTACAGCGACCCTTGCATTGCGATCCTAACCAACGTATGTTTGCGTACTCTGATCGCTTCCTGATACGTGGCCCATGTTATCATCAGACATTGTCAATTTCTGTTTGCTAGTGTCAGCTCGTTTCTGCTACACATGCTTGTTCTACTGGCTACGTGGCTACACTGAAAGCAGTTCAAGATGGCCTTTCGCTGACACATCATGTGACTGCCGCAAGACACCGTCCTTATGAGCCAGTTTTCCAACTTCTGGACAACAGTGCTCCCAGAGCTCGTACTGAACGCGCAACTCAAACTCCTCTTCGCTGCTATCAAGGTTAGTTGTATCCGACCCAATCATTGCGAAATTCGAGCTTAACGGATGCAACATTTCATCAATGCAACATACACAGCGCTGCTTGTGCAAGGAGCTTGGGCCAAATGCCCGGTCCAGCATCTTGCCCCGCCAACTTCATCATGGAAATACAGGTCACAGGTATCCGATGGTATCCGAAAACAGCAGGGGTTCTGCCAACTACGAGATCCCTGAGAAAGAAGTCTGCGAGCGGTGATTGTCTAAAACCTTGCTGTTCGATTGAAGCACGCACTGTAGTAAACTAGCCAAAACAAGAAGGACATCAGGACCGAGATACCTCTGTCCCGCATGAAGTAGATCTTCTCATCTACACCATTTGCGTGCACGAACACTGGCTTCTTCACGCCGTCCGTCGCAAGATGAACACCGCGCCAGAAGTAGTTCATTCCATGACAGATTTCTGTGGGGTCCAGCACCCTGAGCGCCAACTTCCTTCTTGCGGTAACCTCCGAGCATCGACCACCCACCTGTCACGAAGATGTGATCGTCAAGGAAAATGCTCAAGAGGAAACCCAACAAAGAACAAAAGAAGGAATCACCCACTCGACCCTCCTGACAAGTGGCTTTCTTCCCCTGTCGAAGCATCTCGACAATGGCCAGCCGCTCAGGGGCCCACCCAGAAGGAAGCATCACGGTAGAGTTTCCATAGCGGACGAGCACCTTTGTGGGAGGAAGCTACACTAAAACCCTCTTGTCCATGCACTTCAGCGGTACCATGCATTGATTCAAGAAGCAGCTGGAGCAGCAACCAGCCAGTCCTACTACATCTCCGAGTTCTGCACCGATAGAGTACAGATGCTTGCAGATGGAATGCTCTTGCGGTAAATGCCGCAACCTGCTGCTTAGCTGCTGTGGAAGGCTCCATGGCGAGGTGCATGAGGACAAACTTGTTGAAAGCCTTGGCCGACGGCAATCTCTTGGCATTGTAGACCGTCGTCTCCGGGCCTGTGTTGCTTATCCAAGCCAAGCCCTGTGAAGTCTGTTTTGCAGTCCGTTAGATGGGCCAACTGTGACACTCGCCTTAGAGAAGCAGACCAAGCCAATGTGCACCTGGTACATACCAAATAACATGCACTTCGAGAGGCGCGCTGGTCGAAGAAGTCACGAGGCAAAGCAAGGCGGTCCGTTGCTTCGAAAAGCTCTAGAAACCTCGGCTGCAAATTTGGCACGGCATGGCTTCAGAGATGTCTGTGTGCCGCCGGAACGATCTGCACATTCCCGGGCATCGGAAACCTTCAGCGCATGTGAGGTGGCCTTGCAGCCTAGCATGTTTCGAGCCTCTCAGAGCATAAAAGCGTCTGCTCCGGAAATATGCTGTCATCTCCACCAATCAATCGAGGAACTGAGCCAGAAAACAGAACAATGTCGACGATTTGCGCCTCCCGTTTGCGTACCTGAAGTGTAACTGTGTAACTATGGAGGCTTGAGTCGCTTTTCGGTTCTTCCACTTTGCGACGTGAGTTTGCGATTTCGAAAAAGCGAAAGGATTGGAATCAACGACGGTTTCCATCCACAAGGACTGTACACAACCCGGTCTCGTGCCCCTTTGCTTAACAGAGTTCAAGTCGGAAAAACACATACTTGGCGAACCAAAGCTTCGTGAAGCCAAGACAGGCATCTGTATGGACTCACGATTCCGGCCTGGTGCCACTCTATGGCTTCAGGGCGTCAGGGCTTCAAATCGGCATGTGCATTCTCGCACACAGGTAGGCCGGCGCATGGGAAGCTGTCAGCTAAGGCTTCTCAATTCCATGCATTGTTGTTATCTTTAGCAGCTATTAGCGCTGCTCTTCGCAAAAACATATCTGTGCCCGTCCGTCATTACAACACCATACTTTCTCAGTCATCCCCGTGCATACACGCAGTTGGAAAAACGACGAACGCGACAACACACAGAGTGCCGAGATTTCTCCAAGCTGCAGGAACCCAGTGTTGAAATTCTCCTCTGGCCTCATCTCGGGTTGCCAAAGGTCTCGCTCGGGGAAGAAATGGTCTGTGCCTGGCAGAAGTATTTGCACATGGCTTTCCACTCGGACATGTCACCGTGTGCCATGGTACAGTGAACCACCCACGGCCTGTCTCCAAATCTGAGTCTGCCCACACAGCTCGGAAGGGGTCAGACAGCAGCACGCTGTCTGCATCCAAAACCAGCAACCTTAGCACATGGGTAGCTCTCTAGAAGAGGGTCCCTTTTGGGATTTTGGGTTCTTGTCATAAGGGTGCTGTACTATGTTTGGGACCGGGAAAGGGACCCAAATTTAGAGAACCACCCACATTGGCTGAAAAATCTACAACCACTGCAGGAAGCGCAACGTGGCAGGAGATTCCTTCTGCATCCAACTGACAAAAACTGATGCACGTAGCACGAAGCATGCGGACAGCTCACAACAAGATCGCTCAAGTGTTGACCTGGGAGCTCTAATCCGATATAGAGTCCGGTCATCAGCAGCCGGAGCTTAAAATCCCAGCGCTCGGCAGCTTTGCCCGAGGGGGACATGTGGCGCGTGTAGCGACGGGAGCAGACCCCTCGACGCGTCAGCTCCTCCAAGGCCGGGCGTGGTGTTGTAACCCCGCAGCTCTTGTAGAAACACATTCAGACGTGGTGTAGTAGAAATTTGGTGGAAGCCCAGCTGCAGTCCCGAATCTACGAATGAACTGTACAAGTATAAGATTGCAAAACGGAAAGCAGGCTCGCTAGCTGGATGCTCACGGCGCAACCTAACGTGTGAACCCTCCCAAGCGGCTTCCAAGAACTGCAGGCAGATCTGAAACCACCTCTGAGTCTCCTCGTGTGCAGCATGGTCCATTGCCACCACCTGAGCACGAGCACGTGCAATGAAGCAAGTCTAAACCTCCCCGATACCCTAGCTGATTCGGAAAGGCAGGAGAGAGAAGCTTGGACCAGGAAAATGGAGTCCGAGCTCTGATCATGGTGCCTGACCTAAACGCCTAAAATCTGACCGGGTCCATGTCAAAATCACCGCATCCTTGACAGGGCCTGCCTCAGTAGTTGCCCTGAATCCCAGCCCACAATCACGAAAGCCCGTCTTCTCATACAAGGAGAGTCAAGCTGCGCAGAAATGCGGAAAGAGGCTCGGCACCTGCAAGCTGAGTGCAGAATTGATTGCAGTTGTATGCCGAATTCATGGCACGTGCTCCAGATATAAGCCTCCCCCACACCGGCCCGCACAAAACCTGCACTTGGACGGATGGGCCCAAAGCTCGTCTCCACCACCGCGGCCACATCACACGGACCAGAGACGGCCTTCAGCTGAACCGACAAGGCCAAGTTTTGAGCCAATGCCAGGAACTCCGGCCGCTCACCTGAGAGGCCAGGGGAGGATTCGACGGGTTCGAGTTCGCACCCACGAGGTCCAGTGGTCGAGTGAGTTGAGGGTCTCCTTGCGAGCAAAAAATGAAACCCTGCAGTTATTCGTATGGGCATACGTTAGCACTCTCCCTTCCAGAAAGCTGGATCATTTCAACATTACATCCAAACAACTCCATCCAACAAAGACATGCCAAAGAAGCGCCAGCTCACGCTGCGCGTCCCAACACCCGAAGGAGCACAGCAGTAGCAGTCAGCCCTGAGGCTCCCGAGCTCAAAAATCCAACGCCCCTGCGAGAACACAAAGTAACATCGCCTGTGGTCCATGTCAGCACTGCACGGCGATCAGAGTCTGCCAGGTGCGTGAGGGCCTGCAGGTCGAGGTCATGGAGCACATAGCCTTGGGGGTGTTTTAGCAGCTTAGACTGAGACTGCTTATGTTTGTCTGGTTGAATTCTTAGGCTTCTCTTGAGGCACCCGGGCTCGACATGCGAAAGGGACTAGTTTGCTTTTTCCGCGCTGGCTTCAAGCTTCAAGAATCGATCTCATGTCTTGTTGATCCCTACATAGCACCATGTCATGCAGCCTCCACATGACTAGATTTCAGATTCTGGACGTTTTGGGTGTCGACCAAACTGCACTTGACTCTAGAGACCAGTCTGGAACACTCGTGAGTGTTCCAAGCGTTTCTGAACAATACAGCGAGTGCCATTCTTTCGTCCGAGCGAATAGTTAGACAGAATCCAAGTGGTTGTGGGCAAACCCTGGTGTTTCATGCATGCCCGAAGACAGCAAACCCACATCGAACTGTTCGACGCAGGAAGTTGTAAACCTCCGCACGACAGCAACAGCTCTGCCAAGGCCACATACGTCCGAAGCCTCAAAGTCCCAACGCCCCTGGCCCTGGCCTGGGCCTACAAATCCAAAGCAGGTGGGCCGCGAGACTTCTGCACTGCTGTGAGGGACTCCAGGAGCTCGGGCACCTCAGCTCTTGGAATGCCGGGACCAATTACGAGAAGAAAGCAGCAACACCGATGTCTATACCTGTATCCGTCTCTGCGTCCACAGGCTACTGAGGGCCCTCCAAAGCGAGGCTTTGCAGGGCTGGGACATTCAGAAGACCGGCTCCTGACCTCACAGTCGTAACTACCGCAGTCATGAAAACAGCAAGCACGGCACTGCATTTTCTCATGCTGCGGCAACACCTCGGGGTTGCCAAGTTATTCAAAGTTGCAACTTCTGCCCTTGCCGGCTGCAAGGCTTTATGTCTGGAGTGTGAAGGGTGCTGTCAGCAACTCAGCGATGCATCCCGGCTCATCGTCATTGGACGGCCTCCCTCTGCACCAGCAAAGGGTGCCAAGTCAGAGCCAGTTTGCAACGCGGTCCTCTTCATGCAGCCACCGACTGCTCTGACATGCCGCAATGCAGCCCACCCGCGGGACTGAAACCAGCGGGCAGGAGGTTAAAACCATTTTTCTATATAATACTAACATCATTCGCAGACGCTTCGTGCCAGGAGCCATGTTGGACAAGCAGCAAATTCTGCATCAAGTGTGGACCACGCAAACAACACAGTTCAGATGACTTGAGTTAGCTCGACTTAGCCACAGCCCAACATGACACCTTGAAGCGTAACCCCGGGATGAAAAGCTGTGCAACCACAGGGCTCGATGAGAAATCTTGGCTAGAAGGAGCCAAGATGTATCCCAAAGCACTCAGGGGCTCGACGCCCCTTTAAACAAGCTGACCCTGCCTCGCATCGCGAACGTGCACGAAGCAGGTCCAGAATCAAAT